GCTGGTATGACCTCATTAACATGACAAAGAAAACTTTATTCCAAAACGAGATTCTATCCACAGGTATAGGGGTTAGGATTCCAACACATATTTTTCGGGGACACAACACAACACAAATCTAAATAGCTGTGAAGGAGGAAGAGGAGCCCAGGGTCCCAAGGCTGTTTGAGAAAGGTCTTTGAAGTCCCGGTGGTGGGGGAGACCAAGGCTTTCCAGAGAGGGCAGAGGTCCTGGAGGCAGAGCCCAGTGCTGGGAGTGGATGGGGCAGGAAGCTCTGGGGGTCCGGGGAGGGCCAGAGAGCACCAGGAGCAGCATGGAGGGGCCCCAGGTCAGGGCCGGGCAGACGGCAGGAGGCCCCCCTATTCAGTTCTCAGTCTATGCTCAATCACCAGACCTGTGTCATCTGAGATGATGAGCGAGTTTCTTTGTCTATAGGACTGACCTTGGAATTACCTGTCCGAGAAAGAGAGACCATGGAGCTGAGCCACAGAGCAGGTAGACATGGTGGACCAAGGATCAGGATGTGCAGAATCTGCACCCAGGGCCTCAGGAGGGGACCCCTGGGGGCAGCAGGGAGCAGCCCCTCTCTCTTCTCCCTCACTCTCGCTTTGGTCCCGAGACCCACTGTCCTGTCCCTGATTTCCTAGGAGCCTTCTATCTGAATACAGAAGAGAGGAGGGGAAGGAATATTTGTGAGCACCCCTCCCCGCTATTGTGACAGGCCTGGGGATTATGACCCCAGTACAGTCCCCACTTGGGGGGCTCAGAGCTAAGAGGGGAAACAGTGACTCAGTGCACCAGGACAGGGCTGTGGGAGATCATGGCCACGGGTGTGGGTGGGGTATATGTGACTCCCAGGGGTGATGTGGCCCCAGGAGGGGAGGAAAGAGCGTTCCAGGAGGGTAACAGCGAGAGCAATGCCTGGAAATGAAAGGGGGCCAGTCGCCTAAAGAGATAGAGTTTGCAGATTAGGGGGAAGGTGAGAGAGGAGGACAGGCCAGGTCCTGGGCCTAGTCCAAGGGCAGGGTCTGCCCCGAGAAAGAGCAAAAGGTTTCAGTGCAGCAGTAATGGGGTAGGGTCTGCTCTGGGAAGGCTCCCTACAGGTGAGTGAAGGGTGGCTGTCCTGGCAGGTGGTGGGCAGGGGATTGGGATTGGGAGCCCAGCAAGCTTGGGTGGGATTCTCACTGGTATCTTTCTTCAATGAGCCCTCGTTAAACCCTCAGATTCCTGACCTCTCCCACAGATTCTAGTGCATCTGCTCTGGGAGGGGCTGTATGTCTAAGGAGTGCACCGGGTAACTCTGATAAACCACTAAGTTTGCAAAACTCTGATCATTGCTCTTTTGATCCTTGTGATACCATATGAAGTAGGATTTATTGTCGCCAGTTGCCTTGGAGCCCTGGTGGCACACTGGTTAAGAGCCCCGCTCTAACTGATGACAGTTTGAATCCACCAGCTGCTCCACGGAGAAAGATGTGGCAGTCTGCTTCCATAAAGATTGTTGTTGTCAGTGCCATCAAGTTGGTTCTGACTCATAGCCACCCTACGAAACACTGCCCGGTCCTGCACCATCCTCACAATCCTTGTTGTGCTTGAGCTCATTGTTGCAGCCACGGTGTCAATCCATCTCATTGACGGTCTTTCTCTTTCTCGCTGACCCTGTACTTTACTAAGCATGATGTCCTTCTCCCGGGATTGGTCCTTCCTGATAACATGTCCAAAGTATGAGATGAAGTCTCGCCATCCTTGCTTCTAAGGAGCGTTCTGGCTGTACTTCTTCCAAGACAGATTTCTTGGTTCTTTCGGCAGTCCATGGTATAGTCAATATTCTTCGCCAACATCATAATTCAAAGACATCAATTCTTCTTTGGTGTTCCTTATTCATTGTCCAGCTTTCATATGTGTATGAGGTGATTGAAAACACCATGGTTTCGGTCAGGCACATCTTTGTCCTCAAAGTGACATCTTTGCTTTTTAACACTTTAAAGGGGTCTTTTACAGCAGATTTGCCCAATGCAATGCGTTGTTTGATTTCTTGACTGCTGCTTCCATGGGCAGTGATTTTTGGATTCAAATAAAACGAAATCCTTGACAACTTCAATCTTTTCTCTGTTTATCATGATATTGCTTATTGGTCCAATCGTGAGGACTTTTGTTTTTTTGTGGAGGGGCAATCCATACTGAAGGCTGTAGTCTTTGATCTTCATCAGTAAGTGCTTCAAATCCTCTTCACTTTCAGCAAGCAAGCTTGTGTCATCTGCATATTGCAGGTTGTTAATGAGTCTTCCTCCAATCCTGTTGCCATGTTCTTCTTCATATAGTCCAGCTTCTCAGGTTATTTGCTCAGCATACAGATTGAATAAGTATGATGAAAAGATACGACCCTGATGCACACCTTTCCTGACTTTAAACCATGCAGTATCCCCTTGTTCTGTTTGAAAGACTGTCTGTTGACCTATGTACAGGTTCCTCATGAGCACAATTAAGTGTTTTGGAATTCCTATTCTTCGCAATGTTATTCATAATTTTGTTATGATCCACACAGTTGAATGCCTTAGCACAATCAATACAACACAGGTAAACATCTTTCTGGCATTCCCTGCTTCAGTCAAGGTCTATCTGACATCAGCAATGATACCCCTTGTTCCATATCCTGTCCTGACTATGGCTTGAATTTCTGGCAGTTCCCTGTTGATATACTGCTGTCACTGCTTTTGAATGATCTTCGGCAAAATTTTACTTGTGTGTGATATTAATGATATTGCTCAATAATTTCTACATGCTGTTGAATCACCTTTGTTTGGAATGGGCACAGATATGAATCTCTTCCATTCGGTTGTCCAGGTAGCTGTCTTCCAAGTTTCTTCTTGACATAGATAAGTGAGCACCTCCAGCGCTGCATCTGTTTGTTGAAACATCTCAATTGGTATTCCGTCAATTCCTGAAGCCTTGTTTTTCACCAATGCCTTCAGTGCAGCTTGGACTTCTTCCTTCAGTACCATCGGTTCTTGATCTATGCTACCTCCTGAAATGGTTGAAAGTTGATTAATTCTTTTTGGTATAGTAACTGTGTATTCCTTACGTCTTCTTTTGATGCTTTCTGCGTCGTTTAATAAAGACTACAGCCTTGGAAACCCTGTGGGGCATTTCTGCTCTGTCCTATAGGGTCATGATGAGTCAGAATTCACTAGATGGCAATGAGTTTGATTTTGGGTTGGTTAGTTGCCTTGAGTCTGCTGGGACTCATGGCGACCCCGTGTATAACGGAAGGAAATGTTGCCTGGTCCTGCACAATCTTCATGATCATTGGTATGTTTGAGTCCATTCTGATGGCTATTATTGTGCCAGCCATTTCACTGAGGGTTTTTCACCTTGGAATTTACCCTCCTCATTGTATAGCTGGAAGAATGGAGTGGAGGAAAGGTGGAGTTGCAATGAGATTCCAGAAATGACAGATGTAGACCTTCATTCATTCATGCCTTCATTCATTCCACATACATTTAGCTGTAACTGGACAGGGATTGGCCTGTTTAGGTCATTGTCGTAACCCCAGAGCCTGGCACAGCACCTGGTACACAGTAGGCCCTCAATGAATGAATAGATGAATACATTGGTTTTTTGAGGCAGGGGATTCAAGGTGAGGTCCTTACCCCTAGAGCACTCATAACCTCAAGGGGCAGGCAGAGGATGAGCAGGCAATTACACTACATGATGTGGTGACAGTGTGATTAGGCTGTGAGAGAAGACAGCCAGGAGCTAAGCCTGGGGAGATGGTAGAGTCTGATTTCTGAGTCCTGTTAGGCCAGGGGAAACCCTGGTGGCATAGTGGTTTACAGTTACTGCTGCTAACCAAAAGGTTGGCAGTTCAAATCCACCAGGTGTTCCTTGGAAACCTTATGGGGCAGTTCTATTCTGTCCTGTAGGGTCACTATGAGTCAGAATCGACTCGACGGCAATGAGTTTGGTTTTTTTTGGGTCAGGCCAGTGAGAGCTCCATTCCTGCACTGGGCCTCAGTCTCCCCAACTATAGGATAAGAGGCTGTGATTGACTACCTGGATGCTGAGTGCCCTTCCTGCACTTTGCCTCCCTCTTCTGAGAAGGTGTACCAACCCCCCCATCCCCACTCCTCTAGTTGGCTTCCTGCTTGCTGGGGCAGAGCCCTGGGTGAGGTGTGGAGGTAGGGCAACCTGGGGTAACAGGTTTCATCTCTGCCTTTTGTGTAATGGACTGAAGACTAGAAGTCTGAATTCAGGGTGATGGCTCTAGGGGAAGGCTTTCTCTGTCAGCTCTGGGGGAAGGTCCTTGTCTCCTTTCAACATCTGTGGGCCCAGCTTTCCTTGGAAATCTCCATGTGTCTTGGCATCAATCTTCCCCTGGGTCTAGGAGGTTCTCAGAGCAGGGATCCCAGGTCCAAAGGCCACAACACCACTTCTGGCTCTTCTTTATTGGTAGTAATGAGGTCCCTTTCCTCTCTGCTCACTTCTCTTTCCTTTTATCTCTTGTAAGATAAAAGATGTGACTCAAGTAAGGGTGTGACTCTCTTGTAAGGCTGTGACTCAAGATATAACACACACTTATTAACCTTTGCATGCCTTAACATTAATATGCCTCATAACATTAACAACACATCACAAAATGAAGGATAATTACATCGGATCACAAAATGAATGACAATCACACAATACTGAGAATCATGACCTAGCCAAGTTGACACATATTTTTGGGGGGCACAATTCAGTCCACTACAGGGACAAAGGACTGAGAATAAGATAAGGCTGTCTGATTTCAGCTGGCAGGCAGGCCTGGGCCTCAGCTTTCTCTGTCTCGCACTGCCTTGGGGTGGAATCTGCAGCCCTCCATGGAGAGGACAAGAGGGACTCTTCCAGAGCACCACCACTCACCCACAGCAAAGCAGGGTCTGGTAGGAGTTAAATGAAAACCCTAAAGCCTGATGCTTAAGGCAGCTGAATGTGGGGCAGGGGCTAAATCCTGAGCTGTTTGAAAGGAAAGATCCATCTATAGTCGCAGACACTAATAGACCCCCAAGGTATAGTGGTAAGTGTTTAATAGCAAGTTACAAAATAATGCATAGAATCTAATCTTATTTATAAACAAAAGCAAAACAAAACTATGCATCTTTGGAGAGGGAGGGAGGACCCTTCCAGAAAGTTTTGGAGGGAAGATACTGAACACCTTCACAGCAGTAACCCTGGATTGAGGATGGGGGCAGGCAGTGGAAGTGATTCAACCTCTGTCTTGTTGGGCTTTTCCCAGTAAGGAAAAAAAGTACCTACTCCTCGGGTGTTCTAATGTTGTGCTCCAAGTTGCCAAGGGCTATGAGATACATCATTACTTATGTTCGCTGCGAGAAAACACTGCCGGTTGATCCATGACCCAGGGCTTTTTTAGCCCATGAATGGTCACAGGCAACCTGTCATGGATTGAATTGCGTGTGTCCCCAAAAGTGTGTGTCAGTTTGGCTAGGCTGTGATTCCCATATCATGTGATTGTCCACGATTTTGTCATCTGATGTGATTTTCCTATGTGTTGTAGATCCTACCTCTATGATGTTAAATGAGGCAGGGTTACAAGCAGTTATGTTAATGAGGCAGGACTCAATCTACAAGATTAGGTTGTGTCTTAAGTCAATCTCTTTTGAGATATAAAAGAGAGAAATGAGCAGAAAGACAGAAGGACTTATACCACCAAGAAAGCAGTGCTGGGAGCAGAGCACGTCTTTGGACCTGGGGTTTCTGCATGGAGAAGCTCCTAGACCAGGGGAAGATCGATGAAAAGGGCCTTACTCCAGGGCCGACAGTGAGAGAAAGCCTTCCTCTGGAGCTGACACCCTGAATCTGGACTTCTAGCCTACTAGACTGTGAGAGAATAAACTTCTGTTTGTTGAAGCCCTCCACTTGTGCTATTTCTGTTACAGTAGCACTAGATAACCCAGATACAGGCTGACGTCAGAGATGTTAGCATGAGAAGAAATGAGTGTCTTAGATCCACGAGGTAGTGTTACTCTGGGTCTGATACCCTGTAGCCACTCCCTTATCCCCTCACTCACTGAGTCACTCCACCATCATCTCATGCATACAGTCTCTCTGGTGGGTACTGTGAGGGCCCAGAACTGACTCACTGCACATGGACCCTGCCTCAACATCCCTCCCTTTCCCACCTAGGAGGGAAAATGAGGCGCTCTGTAGCTCACAAACTGAGCATCTTGAGAGATGTGTCAAGTGTTGGGGAGTTAAGAGGAGGAAGCTGGCCCTGCTGGGGGTAGTGTGTGTGTGGGGGGACTTCTTGGTGGGGCTGCATTTGAAGGCAAGCATATTAGCTTCCTAGGCCTGCTGTAACAAAGTACCACAAACTTGATGACTTAAAACAACAGAAATTTATTCTCTCACAGTTGTGGAGGTCAGAAGTCTGAAATCAAGGTGTCAGTTAGGCTAGGTTGTTGTTACTTGCCTTCGAGTCAATTCCAACTCATGGCGACCCCATGCGTGCAGAGTAGAACTGCTCTGTAGGGTTTTCAAGGCTGTGACCTTTTGAAAGCGGATTGTCAGGCCTGTCTTCTGAGGTGACTCTGGGTGAGTTTGAACCACCAATCTTTTGGCTTGTAGCCAAGCACTTAACCATTTGTGCCATCTGGGGTCATACTCTCTCTGAAATCTCTAGGGAAGAATCCTTCCTTGCTCTTCTAGCAGTCCTTGGTGACCCTTGCTTGCAGCTGCATCACTCCAATCTCTGTCCTGTCTTCACATGGGCTTCTCCCCTGTGTGTCTCTGCGTCTTTGCTTCTTCCTATAAGGATGCCAGTCATATTGGATTTAGAGCCCACTTTAGTTGGTATGACCTCACTTAAACGAATAACATCTGCAAAGACCTTTTTTCCAAACAAGGTTACATACACAGGTACCAGGGGTTAGGACGTGAACATATCTTTTTGGGGGACACAGTTCAACCCACAAGGCAGTGGTGGTTCAATAGTGGAATTCTCGTCTTCCACGTGGGAGACAAGCTTTGATTCCTGGTCAATGTACCTCATGCGCAGCCACCACCCATCAGTGGAGGCTTGTGTGTTGCTAAGATGATAAACAGGTTTCAGCAGAGCTTCCACTCTAAGACAGAGAAGGAAGAAAGGCCTGGCAAACTACTTCCAAAAACCAGCCCATGAAAACCCTATGAATCACAACAATCCAATCCATAGCTGATCATGGGGATGGTGCAGGACCAGGCAGTGTTTTGTTCTGTTGTACATGGAGTCACCATGAGTTGGGGGCCATGGCAGCTAACATCTAACAACAATTGAACCACAATAGAAAGATAGGGCTTTGATGTATGGAAAAGAAGGGCTGGCCTTCCAGGAGGCAAAACCAGCCTGGTGGCATATCACAGGATGTGGATGGTGACCAAGTCAAGTGGCCATCCCTCTGGTGGGATCCAGGGGTGGGTGAGGAGAATGATGAGGGACGGCAGTGAAGTGGCTGGGCTGGGCTGGGCTTGCGGCAGGCTGAGAGCAGGAGCCCCACTGAGACTGGGAGTCAGGGGCAGAGGTGTGGGGGGACATCAGGTGGGGATGTGAGAGCCAGGATGGCTGGGACGATCCACCTGATTAGCTCTGGAAAACAGACAGAATGGGGGCTGGGGAGCTTCCCTGAGTGGGGAGGGAGATCGAGCTCCAGACCTACTCTGGTACTTTGCATCAAGCCAAGGAAGGCCCTCAGTCAGCCTCCGCATCTGCCGGCTTCCCTCACTGGATTACTGTGGGACTCAAGGCAGGGAAGGAGCTTAATCAAATGGAGCCAGGGACACTGAAGTACAGAGAGGCCAGATCCCTTGCTCCAGGTCACACAGCTAGGTCTCAGGGCTGGACAGGCTTGGCTGCAGCCCCTGTTGTCAAAAGCAACGTAGGGTAAGAAAGTGACTGTGACCCTGTCGTATGGGGGGCTTGGCGGCTGAAACATCTTCTCTCCCTGCCTCTCTCCTTCCTTCTCACCACGCTGCTGACTCCTATGACTTCTGTCTGTCCCTGTCTCTTTTTCTCTCTCTGGGTCTCTGGGTCTCTCTGTCTGCTTGTTCTCCCCACCCCATCTCTGTGTCTCCTTCCTGCCCCTCACTTTCTGAGTTTATTTGTCTATGTCTCTTCCCCCATTCAGGTACGACCACTTTGACCAGGGCCCACCGGAACAGCAAGGAGGCCCAGCAAGATACGGACTCCTGGAAAACAGCCCATAGCCCCTTGGACACCTCGCAGTTCAAGTACCAGGCCCCACTCTCCCCGCATTCACCCCTAAACCGGGGAGGCAGCACTGGAAGCAGCAAGCTAAGGCTGGCCCACCTGGAGAAGGTGCAGCCTCCACCCCCAACAGCCGTTCACAAGGACTCTCCGGGGATGGACCCACAGCCCCAGCCCCTGTGGAAGGGGAGCTCCAGATCCTCTTTGAGGGAGAACAGGGGCACCTTCCGAGAGGGGGCCCTGCCAGGCCAGGGTCCTGAAGGAGGTGCAGGCTTGGAAGCCCAGGACGGGAGGGGCCCACCCCCATGCCAGGAGAGGAGCGTCATTCCTGACAACATTCGCCACAAGTTTGGGAGCAACATGGTGGACCAGCTGGTCACTGAGGAGCAGGTGTCAGACCAGGGGGACAGAAGGCTAAGGGGGCAGCAGGAGGGTTACCCATGGAGACTTATACCGAGGACCCAAAAGACACCTGCTCTTATTAGAGTCCCCATAATAATAGCATTCCAAAAAACCAAACCCATTGCCATCCAGTTAAGTCCAACTCATAGCGACCCTGTAGGACAGAGTAGAACTGCCCCATAGGGTTTCCGAGGGGCAGCTGGTGGATTTAAACTGCTGAGCTTTTGGTTAGCAGGCGAGCTCTTAACCCCTGTGCCACCAGGGCTCCAATATCATTGGAAAGCTAATATTTACTGAGCATCTGCTATGTGCAGGCATTGTGCACTATTTAAACTCTTCACATATAATAATTCGTTTACTCTTCCCAACAGCCCTATGAGAAGGTACTGTTACTATCCCCATTTTATGGATAAGAAACCTGAGGCTTAGAAGGGTTTAATAACTTCACCAAGTCGCCCACTTGTGTGGGACCGGGATCCAAACGGGATCTGCAGATTCTGGAGCCCTGGCCCTTAATGCCTTTGCAGTTATAAGTCCTGTGTTTAAATCAGATGTTTTCAATTTGAACAAGTCTCCTAAGGAGACAGCATCAAGCGAGTGGACAGCATTTGCTGGGAATCAGAAGACCCGGGTTTGAATCCTGGCTCTGCCCCTGAATGCTGAGTAACTTTGAATAAATTACTTCCCCTCTCTGAGCTCCAATAAGTACATTGTAAAGTGAAGCAGTTAGACTAGACCCTGCTGGCAAGTACAAGGCACACATACCACAACTCTCCTCGCCTGCATTCATGATAAACATCACTAATCCATGCTGACACTCTTTCCCACCTGATATATATCATTCTAGGCAGTCACTATTAATCAACTGAAACTTGACATAAAATTCACGAGCCATTTATAATCAAATGTTAAGGTATTCCAACCATATTTTCAAGGCCACTATCTCAACCTTCGTTGGCAACTACATTGTGCAATAGGCCAAGGAGGAAATATTGTTGCCCTGCTCTTTAGAGATGTGAAAACTAAAGCTCAGAGAGGTAATATGATCTGCTCAGGGTCACACTGTGAGCAAGTGGAAGATCTAGGCTCATAAAGGCTCCCCTCCAGGGTCCCGTTCCACTTTGTTATCTTAAGGTGTGGTGACCCCACCTGTCAGCAAGTCTGAGAGGCCACAATCCTAAATGCCCTCCCCCACCAGAGGCTCTTATCCCAATATGAGGTTTAGATGTATGGTCATGACCTCCCACTGCCCCTCTTGGTCTTGGGGAGATGACATTTCTCTCTTCAGCCACCACTGTCCTGAGCTCGAATCAAGAGATCTGGCTTTTCTACTCAGCTGTGACACAGGTCACAGGTGTCATCAAGCCAGCAAATGTCAGAGCTGGAAGCTACTTCAAAGACCATTCGGTTCTCTCTTCTCCCCATTTTACAAGTAGGAAAACTGAGGCCTAGAGAGGTACAGACTTGCCCAAAGTCGGCAGCTGTTATATAGCAGAGTAGGGACTCAGACCCAGGCTTCTGGCTGATAGGCCTGGGCTCAACATCTCTGGGCCTCAGTTTCCCCACTGGTACAAGAAATGAGTTGGTTTCCGTGAAATCTAAGGGCCCACCTTGAGCTGTAGTTGAGTGATGCTTTCATCCTTGGAGGCAAGCCAGGGCTCTGTGCTTTACCCACTGTGTGACCTGGGCAAGGCCCTGTCCTCCCCGAGGCTCAGTTTCCTCATTTATAACAGGCAGGAATAATGTCCCCCTGTAAGGACCTCTCCTAATGCTGCCCAGAGTAGATGCTTGATGTTGGAGGAGGTTTTATGATAGTTATTAGCCTTGGTGCCCCCAGCCCACGGCGTATGTGTCTGTGTGTGGCTTCCCAGCTCCCTGGGCCCCAGGGGTTTGTGGAGGTCTGCAGGCTAAGGGTGGGTTAGGGGGCGGTGAGGACAGGGTCAGAGGGAGGAGGACTTAGAGGGGAGATGTAGGGCTTGGCCCTGCTTTCCCATCCCTTGTCTCTTCTCCCTCCCTCCCTGCTCAGGCTCAAAGGGCCATTAGTGAAGCCGTGGAGTGCCAGAAGAAGTCAAGCTCATGGCCCAGGAGGATCCAGAGTCCCGTGGAAATCTCCTCCATCTTCTCAGACTACTATGATCTGGGCTACAACATGCGGTCAAACTTGTTTCAAGGTCAGGCCAGAGGGCAAGGGTGGAGGCTGTGAAAATCCGTGGTCCCGATAGCATTGGCCAGGGAAGGCCTTTGAGTGTCCACCCCTTCCTGAACCTCATATGTGGTCTAAGGACCCTGGAGTACACCACCAGGGTCACTCATTTCATGGCACCAAGGGCTTCTTCTCTGCTGGGCCCTGGGAATGGCCAGTCCCCTCAGCAAGTGAGTCACACTGTGCACAAAGCCCCTCACTCCCTGCACACCTCTGGCTTCTTAATCTGCCAGTAGGAGGCCTCCGCACCACTGGCCTGCTTGCCTTCAGTCACAGTGACAATATCAGGTTTCCTGGATTCAAAGCTCAACTCTGCCACTCACTAGCTGGTGACCTTGGGCCAGATCCTTCAACTCTCTGAGCCTCAGTGCCTCCTCAGCACAATGGGGCTAATGCTGGCATGGCCCTTCTTGGGTTGTTGGCAGGATTCTGTGGAACCCCGAGCACGAAAGCGCTTGGCTCGCAGCATGTACAGAACGTCCAGTAGCTCTCAGATGGTTCTTTTTCTTTCAGAGTTCAGTGGTGGCACCTCCTGGGAAAAGGAAGGGTGGGCTGGAGACTCCAACATTTACAGCGTTTCCTGTGGGTCTGCGTGGTCCTGTTTGATTGGGGGGGAGTACTATTAGCTACATTCATAGGCAGACTGAGACAAGTTGCCGAGACCTCTCTGTTACATGAAGGGGATCTGTGATTCTAATTCAGGTTTTTCTTCTGTTTCCAAACCCTGTAGCCTTTCCCTGGCAACAACCCACCTCCCTGGTGATGACCTTATACCCAAGGGTTTTCTGGAATGTTCTGAGGGGGTCTATGGTCAGCATGCAGGGGCTTCTCTCTGCCCTCACATTCTAGTTCAACCTCCTTGGAGTGGGTCAGCTCTTTCTGGCCCTCCTCCTTCTTCCCTCCCCTGGCAAACCTCCTCCACCTGGCACAGATCCCTGTTACCTGAGGAACCAGACAGCGTGGAAGGCTTTCTGGGTTTTCTTTTGAGCTTGCAGGGGTGGTGTGGAGGGGAGAGAGGGGGAAGGGAAATACAGCTCAGTTCTCGTCTGGCCTGGGTCCAGGAATCCTGCTTTCCACTTCTCTCTTTAACAGTTATCACAAAATAGTTCTCACCTACAACCTTATATGGTAATGCATACATACACATGTGTAAAGTAATAATATACAAACATCTGTGCACCTATCATCCAGCCTAAGAAACAGAACTGTGCCAAGGATGTACTGGAGCCAGCTCGTACCAGGTCACAAGGTCAATTGTTAAGTTTTCTGAGGTGATTGGCATCATCATACTATCTCTCTTTCTTTTAGGATTTATTTATTTATTTTTGTTTTCGTTGTTGTTGAGAACATAGACAACAGAACATACACCAATTCAACCGTTTCTACAAGTACAATTCAGTGACATTGATTACATTCTTCGAGTTGTGCAAACACTCTCGCCCTCCTTTTCTGAGTTGCTCCTCCCCCGTTAACATAAACTCAGCGCCCCCTAAGGTTCCTATCTAATCTTTGGAGTTACTCTTGTCAGTTTGATCCCATATAGATAGATCTTAAAAGAGCACAATGCTCAAGGCAGACATTCTGTGAGCTAATCTATCGTTTGGTTTTAAGAAGACTTCAGGGGATGTTTTTGGTTTAAGGTTTAAGGATTACCTCGGGGCAATAGTTTCAGCGGGTATCATCATTGTATGTTAACATCAGCCCTGGTAGTAGTATTTACACTCCAGAAATTGGCAAACACTACAAAATAGGGTGTTACCACCCCCACAACACCACTGTCAGCGTGCCCCTCCCATGCGCCCCTCTCTGTCTCCACCCACCCAGGTAAGCCTGTGTGCTTGCTGTTAGAGGTTGGTGAGGTTCATGTGACTGAACAGGAGTGAGAGAAAGCATGTCAGTAGATGAAATCAGAGAGGAAATGGGCTAGGTCCTGAAGGGGCTGTAGGCCACTGTGAGGTTTTTTTGGGGAGTGAGAGGGGAAGCTGACTGAGGGTTTTAAGCCGGAGAGTGGCATTGTCTGACCTAGGTTCAAGGCCCACTCCAGCTGCTGTGTGCAGAACAGATGGTAGGGCAGCTGGGGCAGAAACAGAGACTAGTGAGGAAGCAACTGCAAAAACCCAGGTGGGACAGATGATGGCGGCTTGGAGTAGGGAGCCAGGCTAGTGCACTGCACAACTCCAGAGGGCACTATTGTGCAATATGGCCGCCCAGGGTGGCTGTGGTAAAGGTGGTCCAATGTAATAGGATTCTGAGTATTTGTGTAAGGTGGAGGTGTCCCAGGGAAGTGCAAGTGGTTAACGCATTTAGCTGTTAACTGAAAGGTTGGAGATTTGAGTCTATTCAAAGGCACCTTGGCAGAAAGTCCTGAAGATCTACTTCTGAAAAATCAGCCATTGGAAACCCTATGGAATTGGTGTACGTTCTGCTGTGTATATTCTCGACACTGGGAGCACTGTTCTACCCTGACACACATGAGGTTAACACACATCAGTCAAGATGACTTGATGGCAACTGGTTCATCGGCATAAGGAAGAGCAAACAGAATATGCCGATGAATGGATTTGGGGTGTAAGAGGAACTAAGGTTGATTTCAACGTTTTTGGCATGAACAATTGGAAGGATGGGGTTGCTGTTTACTGAGATAGAGAAGGTTTCAGGAGGAGCAGGTTGAAGAAATCCTATCCCAGGCTGAGTCACGGGAATAATCTTTTATATAGCCTTTTAAAACACATAGTTTTGCTTTTCGCATTTAAGTCTTTAATCTGTGTGGAGTTGATTTCTGCTTCTGATGTGAAGTAGGGATTCATTTTTAATTCCTTCTTTATGTGGATTACCAATGGTCTCAGCACCATTTATTGAATAGTTCCATCTTTTCCCCAGTGACCTACAGTGCACCTCTGCCATCCGTGAAGTTTCTACCTGTGCATAATAGCAAGGTACTCTACACTTCTGAGGAGCCCTGGTGGTGCAATGGTTAAGCACTTGACTGCAAACCGAAAGGTTGGCAGTTCGAACCCACCAGCCACTCTGCAGGAGAAAGATTTGGCAGTCTGATTCCTTAAAGATGTATAGCCTTGGAAACCCTATGGGGCAGTTCTACTTTGTCCTATAGAATTGCTATGAGTTGAAATTGACTCAGTGGCAAGGGATTTAAGGGTGGCACGATGGTTAACCACTCAACTGCTAACTGAAAGGTCAGTGGTTCAAACCCACCAGCTGCTCTGCAGAAGAAAAGACCCGGCGATCTGCTCCTGTAAAGATTACAGCCTAGGAAACCCTCTAGGGCAGCTCTACTCTGTCTTATAGGGTCGCTATGAGTTGGAATCAACTTGATGGCACACAACAACCATCTCTTTGTACCTTAGTTTCCATCTCTGTAAAATATGAATAATAATAGCACCTGCTCATAGGTTTTTAATTTTTTTTTATTGTGGTCAAAATATACGCAACAAAACATACACCAACTCAACAATTTCTGCATGTATAATTCAGTGGCATTGATTACATTCTTCAAGTTGTGCAATTTATTCCTGCTATCTTTTTCCAAATTATTCTAGCAACACTAACATAACCTCATAGGGTTTTTAAGAGGATGTTGTTAGCTGTTGCCCCGTTGGCTCCGACTCATGGCAAGCTTATGCATAACAGAACAAAAGTTTGCCCAGTCCTGTGTCAACTCCATGATCTTTGATATGTTTGAGCCCATTGTTGAGGCTATTTTTTAAAGAGGATAAAATGTTTTAGTATTTGCACAGTGCTTAGAATATTGCACTAGTAAGGCCTATGTGATTATTTGTCAAATACAAAGAAAACAGACATCCGGTGGTGATGTGTATAAGGAAACCGCCATAGTTAGGTGCTGGATCCAGAAGAAGGTAGATGGAACAGACTCTGGGTCCTACTCTGACTTTGGCTTCCTGACAGTTTAGCGAGCTCCACGTGGGGAAGGTGGTGGCCTGGCCATGAGTCCTGGATATTGGGGGTCTCTGCAGCTGGGGCACTGATAGGGCTGTGGGCGGGCCAGTATGGGATGTCCTACAGGAATATGGTCCAGGCAAGTGGCCCACTGTTTGTTTTCTGCTTCCAAACTCACCACGGCTCCAGCTCTTAGGAAGTCAAAGCATTCTCACCTGCTGCAGGCAGCAGAGCATGGAGGGAAGAGAGGAATGTCAGCATGTGGTCAGACAAACCAAGTACAAATCTAAATCTGGGCTGGTCTTACCTGGGCGTTCTGCCCTTCGGGGCACAGAGCGGGCAGCAGGGATCATGGGAAGGGCAGCCCTCAACATGCCAAGCTCTTGAGTCACTGCTGCTCCAATCTGGTTCCCCTCTGTGTCAGTGCTATCCAGGGATCTCTCCAAACCTGTTTTCTCAGGATGTCCTTTACCTCTCTGGTGTTGGCGTTCTGCTTTCTCTACTCTGTGTCTTCCCCTTTCTTGGTTTACTCCCTTGTCCATGGGTTGGCCTACATCTCCCACTAGCTACTTGAGAAAGAGTGAGAGAGAAATAAAAGACACCTTGCATATCTGAAAATATCTTTATTCTGCCCTCATACTTGACGATTAGTTTACTTGCATAAAGAATTCTGGGTTGGAAACCACTTTTCTTCATAATTTTGGAAGTGTTGCTCCATATCTTCAAGCTTCCAGTATTGCTGTTGAGAAGTCTGAAGGGATTCTGGATTCTTGTTCTTTTGTATGAGAACTGGTTCTTTCTCTTTCTATTCTTCTTCTGCCTCATCCTGTTGGATGCTCAGATGGTTGATTTTCAGCCTTTATTCTTTTCTAAAACAGGTATAATCAGAACAGGTAGCACTCATGAGATGCCATGTACGTTACTTTTATTTTTGTCTCTCACTGGGCTTTTCAACCTATTCATTGGTGATGGAGCTTTCACTGTCCCTGGATGAAAACGCATACTGGTCCCATGATTTTTGGCTCTCACTTAGTTGGAAGAAGAAGGAGGGAG